CCTTTAATTCAGCATCTCTAAATCCTATTAAAGCAGCCCYCTGACCAGAATTGAATTCATTTAATGATTATTGCCTTTCCATTCTTGACCAAACTGCTGCATTTAAAACCAGCAAACAAAAACAGACAACTCCCTTCAGCTCACTTCTCGTGTATTTTTGGTTGCAACCAAAACTGTCTTTGTTTTATTTGTTTTGTTTTTTCCTCTGTAAAATTAAATTGTTTTAGGACATCTTGTCACAGTTGTCCTTTTGTCTGTTTATTAAAGTTTGTTATGTTTCTTCTCCGGCCATCTTCACGTCTGTGAGTTAAAGTAATCACTTGCTGCACAAACATGGAGGCAGCCTGTTAATGCCTGGGGCTGGATGTAATACGAACCAAGACAGTTCCTGTTGGAATCTGTTTACGTTCATGTACATCTGAACTGACCGTCGAAAGAAAAGAAAATCCAATCAAAAATAAAGTGGATAGTTTAATAGCAACTAGCACTCCCTGAAGGAATGCATACCACAGTATGAAGTTATACAGTGTTGGTATAATCTTGAAAATAATAGGATGGGAGATCTTGCACGACCTRTTTGTGTTGGCTAGGGCTGATTAGCTGTTGCAGTCACCATGAATTAAGTTTATCAACTGAGCATTTTGATGATTTTTTTTTTACAATTTCCTTACAGTTGGTGGGTTCTTGAGCATTTTGGTGAAAGATAGTTGACTCCACCAGTCAAACATTCGACAAAGAATTTGCATAATAAATAGAGCTTGAAGGTTGTGTTGCAGATGACTCTCGGCTACCACCAGACCAAATTTTAGCTCATCATCTATAAAACTGATGGTTTTATGGATGATTAGCTGTAGCGGTCATCTTGAAATGGGTTGACTCTGAAAGTTAACAGCTGGAGATGTGTGTTTTTTTTTGAAAGCTTCATTAAAAATATCTTTTGATTGAAGAAATATTTTGCTTACAAGACAGATGCTCACCTACGCAAACAGGAAAACATATTATTAGCCACCATGAATCAGTGCGGTCTTCTCAAAATGTAATATAAAAACTCAGGTTAACTTTCAGGCACTTCACTTTGGACAGTTTTGTACGTTTTTAACAAACCATCACTCATTTTCTATGACACTTTGTCACAACAGCTTTGTTGTTTTTAATTCTCACATAAGTTTGACAGAGATAGAGAAATACAGTCTCATCATATTTTGTTCCTCCTGGCAGCCCTTTTATCCCTTCTTTCTAGTTTCTGGAAATCATTCTGTTGACTCAGATTAAAAAAAAACAATAATGAGACTTGCATCATTAAAATTTAAAAGACAAATTGTCTGGGGTGGGGGGGGGTCTGTCTTGAAGCTGCTTTCTCTCATGCACAAATGATTACAGACAGGACAAAGCTTCTGATTAATGTTGAATGTCTTAACAAGAGGAGGCAGGTTCAGAACAGAACTGAATTCATCTAAACCTTTCTCAATTAAAACTTCTTTTAGCTTTGAATATTGTTACATGTCATCATATCTGAACTGAAATAGTGCTCATTTAACTTGTTTATGAACAGTTTTTGTTTGAGAAAAGTTGCTTTAAATCTACAAAGCAGGCTCTGATTGGGTTTAGTTTGTGAGCAGAACCGTGCGGATCAGTGAGAACGCATCACAGGAGGTCAAACAGCTAACAATACATTGTGTGTTAAACGTTTCACCACAACGATGCCCTCAGATGTTTTTGGATGAATTTTTTAAAAGCAGCATTTTTTTTTTTTGCTCGGCCCACTAAGGGCCAGCCTGAGGCATAAACAAACTAAGTGGTTGCTTGGGGTCATGAAGTCATTAGGATTTAATACGCCTGACTGGAAAATGGCTTCTTACAGGATTTGACAGCAGTTTACTTTGACGCAGCTCCTCTACAGCAGAGATCAGGGCGTTATAGAGGGGATTTAACACTAAACAGAAAGGAGTTTGAATCTTTCTCATAAGAACATGTGGGGGGGGGGGGGGTGTTACAGACTGTCTGGAGAAAGGAGACAAATCAAGATGCATCACAAAGAATTCTGTTTAAAAGAGGTCGTGTCAATTGCATCTCAAGGTCACGACACCTGCTCACATTAGGAGAAAAATAATTGGCAGAAAATCTGTTTTTTCGTCTTGCAGCTTGAGTTATTACTTTGGAATTTTACCTATTTTGTAATGACAAAACTATCAATAGCG